GAACATTGTAAGTGAGAGAAGCCGGTTACAAAAGACTAATGATTCTGTTTATATGAAATGTGTGGAATAGGCAGTTTACAGAGTTAGAAAGTAGATTGATGGCTGTTTCACGCTCAGGGAAAGGGGTTATGCAATGGGGAAAATGGGAAGTGCCTGCTGGTGGGTACAGGATTTGTTTTCTGGGGAATGAAAACATTCTAAAATTAGACTACGGTGATGTGCACCATCCTATGACCATACTAAAAAGCACTTAATTGCATACATTTTTTTTATAGGTCAGTTGTGTGGCATTTGAATTTTATCTCAAATAAGCTATTTTTTACAAAGCTTAAAGATAACGGTGTAATTTTTTTTGCTTCATCATATGTCTTAGTTTAGTTGAAAACATAGCATGGTGAAGGTTAGCATTTTAAATATGCATATACTTTCTAACAAAGCTGTATTCTGAGAGGGCTTATTGGATGGTTAACTATCAAAATGAGCGCACGGGCATCTGAATCCAAGTATGAATACATTTTACACACTCACACACTGAATGACCTTGTGAAGCTGGTAGAGTACCTATTCAAATCCAGGTAGGATATAATGATTGATTTCATGATTGCAGAGCAACAAAAATGAAACTGAACATTTCTTTTAAAAATGTACCCATACAGGGACACCTGGGTGGCTCAGTCATTGGGGCGTCTGACTCGCGGTTGTGGGATTAAGCCCTGCATCAGGCTCTCCACTGGGCATGGAGCCTGCCTGATTCTCTCTCTCCCTCTCTCTACCTTCCCCGCACCACCACCCCAAAAACACACGTACAGGCATTCTCTCTCTTTCAAAAATAAAATTAAAAATGAAAATGTACCCATACATAGAATTGCTTTTTTTAAAATTAAGCCTGTTCTCTTCAACTCGTTATTTCTTCTTTGCTTTTTAAGTTCATAAAAAAATAACATTGAGATGTTATTTAACATTGAGATGGTTACCCGTTCATGAAAGGAGAACTCCATGTAAAAGCACTGGGTGGAAATACTGATTCGTGGATTTGGTTAGCCATCCTGTAGTCTCTGCCTATAATGCAGTCACTGTCTAGATGCTGAGCAGCCTTGATACATTTGCCCTTAAATTATAAATAACCTTATATTAAAAGAGATACTGTTTCCATGCTAGTTGCTAGCAGAGCTACACACACACACACACACACGCATGCATGCACACACACAGGCACACCCCTTGCGGGCACATTGCCAACCAGCAGACTTGCCTGACTATTCAGACTCTCTCCACCAGCTCAGAACTCAGGGTTGCTCATGGCTGCCATTCTCTTGTTAGCCACATTTTGGAACTAAATGCTCCTTTTTCCTTTGGTTAAACTGACCCCACGTGTCATTTATAAATTACTTGCATAAGAAAATACATTGTGATTCCAATATACAGCTACAGCAGACTTTTAGAAATATAACCCATGGGGGAGGTGGCTACCTATGAAATGTCTGATTTTTACTTTGTACTTAGCTATCTATTAACATGTGATTTTTCACCACCAAAAATTAAGGCAGGCCAATCATATGTTTGTTTACCTGCGTGAATATGTGTTACCTGCTTTAGCCAGACTGAACTGTGACTAACTGAAAATTTGTCTTCCTATCAAATAGCACTTACATTTTAAATCTCTTTGTATGGATGTTTATGTGGTTTTGACCCGGATATGTGTATGGTTTGGTGATATACTTAGCACGGTACTAGCCGTTGTGGGGATCCGGCGAGAGGAGTGAACCAAATCCCCTGCTCCTGTTAAGCTTCCCTTGTAGGGATTGAATCTCTATTCAATTGCAAGGCAGAACCAAGAATTCATTCAGATCACACCAGGCACAGCGGCTGAGGAATCATAGAGGGAGTAATCTCTGACACCAGAGAACTTGTAACTGGAAGCTAACCCTTAAAACGAAAAGAATTTCGAAGGGGAAAGAAACCAAAAGGTCTTTAACCAACCCGTTGAGTTCTCATGAAAAGGAATAGAACTAAAAACAGAACCAAAAATATGTACTTTGTCTCTTTGGGGTATGTTAATCTATGTTAAGTCCTAAATCCTTTAGGAGGAGAAATATAGACGTTAATTAAGGGGCAGGGTTATTTTTATTTTGTCTTCTGGTGCCTACCATTCTAAAATTGCAAAGTCTCTAGTACGAAGCTGAAGGTAATGACTAGTGGGAAGCCTTACTTTGGGAGCCAAAGGGGAAATCCACCGAATTTCTCCTACTTGTTGGCTATTAAGTTTTAATTTGTAAATTGTCATACTGTAACAGGGAAGTACTTTATCCGGGGCAGTATCCTGTGTGGTGTAATAGTAGTGGTGGTAGTAGTAGTAGTAGTAGTAGTAGTAGAAGCAGTAGTAGCAGTAGTAGTAATAGTAGTTGGCAGTGGTGACCGCCCTGAGGGTTTCTGGGAGAAGCTGCACTCCCCTGTCTGGCCCAGGCTCAGGGTTGCTGGGATCCCCTTTCCAGTCTATTGTATGAAAATTAGCAAAGGTTAACTCTCCTTCACTTACTAGCTAAGGGAACTAGCATATTGAAAAGCTGTTCTTTTAAGGTTCCCAATAATCTGTATGAACATGTGTGACTATGAACTTCAGATACTTTGTAAGGAAGAAGAAGAATATTAGATAACTTGTCTATTGAGTACTTACAGATAAGCACATACTGAATTATTATTTTTTTAAAGATTTTATTTATTTATTTGACAGACAGATCACAAGTAGGCAGAGAAGCAGGCAGAGAGAGAGGAGGAAGCAGGCTCCCTGCTGAGCAGAGAGCCCGATGTGGGGCTCGATCCCAGGACCCTGAGATCATGACCTGAGCTGAAGGCAGAGGCTTAACCCACTGAACCACCCAGGTGCCCCCATACTGAATTATTTTATTTTATTTTATTTTATTTTCCCTATAACCCAGTAGCCCTAGGAAGTAGGTACTACCACTGTCTCTGTTTCACAGATAAGGAAACCAAGGCACAGAGAAGAAGAGTGAAATTTCATTTCCCAAATCATTTTTTTTTGTTAAGGTGTCATCATTTATCACAGTAGGTATGTTGAAAGTTAGCAAATGCAGAGTCCTGCCCCTTAAAAAAACAAGGATTTGTCTTACACTGTTTATGAATCTTGATGTTCAGGCCTGAGAGACCTGAAAGGTACAGACGCATGGCAGAAAGCCAGCACGTTTACTGTGGGGTACATAACGGTAAGCGTCGCCTCGCAGCCTCATATATAGTTAGGTGCCGAGTTAGGGTAGGAAGGAGCCTCCCGCCGAGATACCCAGCCAGGGAATGTAACAGTTTTATGAACAGATGATGCGTTAACCAGTTATTTTTTTGTTAAATAAGAAACTACACGACTCCAGTTCGAATGTGTATCTCTCTATATGTATCTATCTGTCCATATATACGTATATGTATGTATAAAATGCTGCATATATACCGATTAATTTCTGGTAAAGAAATTATCGATAAAACATATCCATGAGTAAAATTACTAGACTATTAAATTTCATCATCCAAAGGGATTTTTTAAAACAACTAAGGCACTGGGCACCTGGGTGGCTCAGTGGGTTAAAGCCTCTGCCTTTGGCTCAGGTCATGATCCCAGGGTCCTGGGATCGAGCCCCACATCGGGCTTTCTGCTCAGCAGGGAGCCTGCTTCCCCCTCTCTCTCTGCCTGCTTCTCTGCCTACTTGTGATTTTTGTCTGTCCAATAAATGAATAAAAAATAAAATCTTAAGAAAACAACAACAACAACTAAGGCATTATTAAGAAGGTGACAGATCTGAGTTAATTGTTCTTTCTTCCACGTTGGCAAAAGCCCTCGTTTTGGCAGTCGGTAGAGACACACAGGGCATGGTTGACACGTGTGCCTGACTGGCCCCTGAATAACTAGGAGGTGACTCTGTGGAATTAGCTGGTTCTCTCACTCCACCTAAGATCCTCAAAATACTGTTCCAAGAATGAAAATGAAGTAACAGATTGGAAAACACGGTCCTTTAAAAACTAAAAATCACTAGTTATGGGCGAGTTATCACAGAGGAGCTCCTTCCTCAACATACTTACCTCTTGGTCTCTTTGTAGGCATCCTCTCCCCATCACTCCCCTGTGCCCCTCTTCTCTTGCCCTCCTGTCCTCTCCCTTCCCCAGCCCTCCAACGGGTGAGTCCGCAGTGTGGCAGAGGAGAAGGGCCCAGTCAGTTTGGTTTCGTACTGCTTTTGTAAATGCTCACGTTACCACAGCTCTCCTTCTGTTCTTCTTCCTGCCTGCGTTTGTATCTCCTGAGGAATTCCAGAAAATACCCTCTGGGTTTCCTGATTTGTTTCACTCCAGTTTGCTCTGACTTTGCCAGCTACATTCTTCTTCCTGTTCTTCCCTTCTCCCCAACTCTACATGGATGTCCGCAGGTGACCCAAGGCCAACAGGCTAGCTTCATTGAGTGATGCTCTATCTTTTGCATTGTAGATGCTCAACAAGTATGTGGTTGTTGGCTAGCTGAGAAAGAAACAGGTTATACGTTCCTTCTTCTTCTTAAGTATTTAAAAAAAAAAAAAAATTGTTGACGGGCCTCAAGTTTGGAGATTTTATTCAAGTACCCAGGATAACAGAGTCTTAACTGTTTAACTACTGCCCCTTTCCCGGCTAATGTAGTGAGGCAGAATATGAAACTTCTTTGAGTCAAGGGAGGAGTGGTGGTTATTTTGAAGCCCTCAAAAATCTTGCTCTTCAGGGATTCCATGACTTTACCTTCGTTTTGTTACCTAAGAGAGACCAGCGTGAGGAAGTAAGCCTTGTGTGGAATCCTCTGAAAGTCATCATGGAGTCATCATGGAGTCGTACCCATTATCATTTGCTTGAAGAGCGGCTGCATCCGTTTTCAGCTTTGTTTATTTGCTTGCCCCTGTGAGTGTTGATCTGAAGGAAACCATTACCTAATTCCTTAAAATGGTTAATGTTTTCTCCTTCCATTTTTTTTTTTAAAGGAAATGGCAAAAATCCTTAATCATCCCCGAGTCTATGCTTTCTTGCACATCCCGGTCCAGTCTGCCTCTGACACTGTACTCATGGAAATGAAGAGAGAATACGGCGTGGCTGACTTCAAAAGAGTCGTGGATTTCCTGAAAGAGAAGTAAGTCTGTTAGTACTTAAGAAAATAACCATTCCTTTTCTTCTTTCAAAAGCATGTGGCAAAAATGCTCTAATTGTAGCCAGAGTTAAAGGTACCAGCGAGAAGGCAAGAGTTTCGAAGCTTCCCCAGGCTTTTTGTTTCCTTAGGGAGCCTTCATGTGGTTTCTTCTTATATCTACCTCCGATCTGTGCATGACACACCATGAATCTGGGTAAGATTGCCGGTCTCTCTAAGCTAGTGTGCATTGTGATCATTTTTATACCTGACCTAGTAGATGAAAACTGCTTTGGCTTTGCTTAAATCTCCCTGAATGTGGACTTCGAGGTGCTGAGCTGGTTCTGATGTGGAGATAGGCCAAATCGCGTCACTACAGAATAGACTGTTTTCTACCAAGTAGCATTTTTTGACGAGTATCTGGAAAGTCTCTGCTTTTATCCCTGAAGATTACTTGGAGAATTGTGACTTATAAGAAGGTTTAAGGATTCTGTTTTTTAAGGTTGAAATTGCTGTTGACCAAAATTAAGGCATATTTACACAATCTTAAACATGAATGATCATTTTGTTTCCACAGAAAACACTTGCAGCCCATAATTATATTCTTTAAAATCCTACTTCTCATCATCACCAAACACTGATGCCTTCTGTGATTATACAAGGCAGGAAATAGTAGGGCTGGCCAAGGTCATACAAAACCTTCTCAAGTCTAGGGCACTGTTCTCCCCTCGGGGGCGAACATTTATCTTGGCATATTTGTGGCATGGGTCTTCCTACTTTCCATAATTTTTTTCCACAATTTTTTTCCTCTGTTGTTTTTCATAATTAAGATACAACTTTTTATTTCCATCTTCTTGTTTATAATTATGTACCTTTGTACCATGTCGAAGTGCTACATGGATATGATTGCTTTATACAAATTGTAAGCAATTATTTTTTCCACCTTCAATTAGTGACTTATCCTGACTACATAGAAATCTTTTAAAATCTTTTTCTTCTTCTATTTACTTTCTCTTTGCTTCCTCATCTTTCCTGTACATCGTTCTAATTTTTTTTCACCTCTAGGCATTTCTTGATTATCCTAACCACTAGAAATAAAGACACTTGTGTGCATTCAAACAAACACAGCTAATTGTTCGAATATTCAAATCAGTGAATAGAAGGCATATTTAATCTAGGATTTCATAATTATAATCATTAAGTATATACAGCCTTCAAAGCAGAAAACAGAATAATGACAGATCTCTACCATCTGTAATACTTTCTACTTTTAAAGAGAACTGAGGTCAGGGCCAAAGAATAAGAATTTTTATGTCCAATGTCTGTTAAGTTGCCCGGTATCCCTCCTTTGCATTTATTCTAGCTTGTGGTAGGTGAACTTGTCTCATGTGAGAGAGTCCTTTTGGGCACGTTGGCACTGGTGAATGGAATATTTTCAAAATCGCAAACATACTGTTGCACCTGTGAAATTTCTTGCCTCTTGCTTATTACTAGGACGATAGCAAATAATGTGCACAGTTCATACCTGTTGCACAAGATTTTGCCAAGTGTAGACATGCATCCTGTTGTGCAGAATAGACTAGAACACTTTCCAAGTGCTTTGTTGCATTAATGTGATTCAGTGAGGTTAAGGAATCAACACCTCTCTTTCTCCTCTACTTGGGTGAGTGCTGACTCAGTTGTTTGGGGAATTACTGCAGCCTTCTAAATGGACAACAATTTCACAATAAGTTCTAGCCTTTTATGTTCTTCCAAAGATGGACCTTTTAAATCTGTTGCATCTTGAACAGTTTCAACAGCATCCATGAGCTGTAGAGAGGTCAAAAGATGATCACATCAAAGTGTTAGAGTAGTCTCTTGCCCTTGTTCATGGCTGAAACTCATTGTCCTTTCTTTGGATTCTGAGTTACCCTGAGACATCTGTGTAGCTTTTCTAGAACTACTCTGCTGTCTGGAAGATGCAGAACCGGGTGCTCCACCCTAGGATCGCCAGTATTCCTAGCACTGGAAATACCAGAGATCCCTGGAGAGGATATTGGAGATGTCTGGAGAAGACACCCCATCCCACAGCCCATCTGTCCATAATACCGGTTTCAAGTGTATTATCACCGGCCTGGGATAGTGTGAGTCCTGATAGCATCTTTGAGAAGTGGTTTATTAAAACTCTATCTTGGAGGTGCACAGTGAGGACTCAGGCAACCTTGGTATATAATTCCATACTTAAATTACAATTTACAGGATATATTAGAAAAATGTAGAAGGCAGACAATATGATAATCCTGATAAAACTTACAGGGACTCTTTGGAAAACAAGAAGAAATCAAATTATGACTACTAATAAGGTGATCCTTACATGGTTTTAGACAGTTCATCAGAACCATGAAATTGTGTCTTTCGTCCAGTCTGTCCTGTTGCTTATGACGCGTGTTCCGCCCGCTCACCCGTGTGCAGACAATACACCCCCCACCATTGCTCTTGTGAAAAAGTGTTCCCGTCCTTCCAGGGAAGTCCACCCATCCAGGGAGCAATTTTCAACTGCATCCAACTTAGAAATAAATGAAGTCTTTTTAGCAGGTTTCTGCTCTCACGGTTTGCTTACTTTTCCTGTAAAAAACCAGCATAGCTTTATGCCAAATGGATTAGGGCTTATAGGAAACACCAGAGTTTCATGGATTTTTATGGTAGAACCGCTAATCTGGATAACTGATCCAGCACAAAATTGTTTTGGCTAGCGTTTTATCAAAATTCAGTAAAATCCTGTCTTTTTTTGGAAAGAGGGCCTCATACTGTCATTTTGCTTTCGTGTGTTCGTTAAAATGACTCTGACTTAAAGTGGTTTGTGTGGCGCTCTCCTCTTATATCTGCTTTTTAGGCTCCTGAACTAGTGTCTTGTTTCTTCTGAAGTTTTTGAAGCCTATTCCTTTTTTCTTAATGAGCCTTTAACAACTAAGAATCTTGATTTTCTTTTCCTCTCCATCAATAGACTTTTATATTCATGTTATGCATTAGGGAGAGGGCATTTCCTAATCTGTTTCATCAAAAAAATCCAATTTTGAAAACAACCTATCACATGTAACACGGCCATCCGAACTGTGGGCTGCAGGCTTTTAAACTCCGAATTCAGCCGTGGCCGTGACGCCATGTCTCTGAGATGCTGAAGGTGAAATCTTTTTAATTAATTTTCTTTACAGTTGAAACTGGCCCATGTTTTAGCTGGGAGCAACAGAAGTTGACTTACGAGCCAAGTTGAAGTTGATTCATTATTCTCTTCAGTTGTTTGAAAGTTGGCAGCCTTTACCGTAACAGCAGCTGGATGGAAGATAACCCAGTGGTTCTGGCACACGTTGAGGCATATGGGAATTTATTAAATCACGCAACCTTTGCGAAGGAAAGTGTCTAAATTACTTAATATACTAATTTAAAACAGCTGGTCCTGAGCAGACAATCATGTGACTTAAATTATTCTATTCCGATTGATTAATCCAGTTGAAAAATTAACTAAGTTGATATTTTCATATGAACGGAGAAGATGGTTTCTTGAACTACCTAATGGGAGCTGCAGGGATGGAGAAGGAAGCTGCCATCACAAAGGTGCATTTCTGGGTTCAGAAAGATTTACGTTCTTGTGATTTTTAAAGTTTGTTTTTTTTTTTTTTAAAGATTTTATTTATTTATTTGTCAGACAGAGAGGGAGAGAGAGCGAGCGAGCACAGGCAGACAGAATGGCAGGCAGAGGCAGAGGGAGAAGCAGGCTCCCTGCCGAGCAAGGAGCCTGATGTGGGACTTGATCCCAGGACTCTGGGATCATGACTTGAGCCGAAGGCAGCCGCTTAACCAACTGAGCCACCCAAGCCTCCCTGTTCTTGTGATTTTTTTTTTTTTAAAGATTTTATTTATTTATTTGACAGAGATCACAAGTAGGCAGAGAGGCAGGCAAAGAGAGAGAGGAGGAAGCAGGCTCCCTGCAGAGCAGAGAGCCCGATGTGGGGCTCGATCCCAGGACCCCGGGATCATGACCTGAGCCGAAGGCAGAGGCTTTAACCCACTGAGCCACCCAGGCGCCCCGTTCTTGTGATTTTTAATAAATACCTCCTAAGTGCAACTGCTTTCATTAATGGTCACTGAGCTGGTTTTTGTGTTATCTTTTTTTTTTTTTAAGATTTTATTTATTTATTTGACACAGAGAGAGAGAGAGAGAGATCACAAGTAGGCAGAGAGGCAGGCAGAGAGAGAGGGGGAAGCAGGCTCCCCGCTGAGCAGAGCCCGATGTGGGGCTCGATCCCAGGACCCTGGGATCATGACCTGAGCTGAAGGCAGAGGCTTAACCCACTGAGCCACCCAGGTGCCCTGGTTTTTGTGTTATCTTATTGGGATTTTTTTTTTTTTTTAAGTATAAGACTTGAATCATTATTCTTATTTTTTTTCATGTAATTTTGAAAGAGTTACTTCCCAAAGAGAGGATTTTTCACTTAGCTGTTTTGAGGATGATGTAATTTGGGTTCCGAGGACTTTGGGACCTTGGAGGTAGACTTTGATTGGGCTCCCCTCATTTGAACAGCATTGAATTTACGCAGTCACTCCCCACCATAAAACCGTTTATTCACATATATTCAAAAAGTCACAACATGCAGAGGTGTTCTCTCAAGCATATGTTCTTGTGCTAAGTAAGAAAAACTCTAAGTCCTCAAATTCACACATTGAAGTGTGAAAGAAATACTAAGAGTGTCCTGTTGATAGATACATTTTAAGACGTGAAACACTTTATGTATTAAAAGACCTATTTGTTTTCGGAGATTATTTTGTTGGAAGTCCAGCGGCCTTTTTGGTTTTTGCTAACCAGACCTTAAACTTGGGAGACAAGATCCGTTCCCCTCACTTGGTAAATACATTTTGAATGAAGTAACGACCGGTTATGTTTTTACCTGCAAGTTGCATAGATCTGAAGTTGTGCCTTACTGTGGCATCTTTGTGTGGACTTTTAATGCTGTAATATTATCCTCCGCAGC